AATTAGGGGAGCATAGAATAGTTTACCTGTCATATCTATGGATAAAGTAAGAATTTATGACCAAATGAGGTAGAGAGAATAATGGGATATGAAATGGATAATTTTGATTATATTAAATTAAAAAAATTTTCCACAAACAAAACCAATGCACCCAAGATTAGAAGGAAATCAGAAAATTGTGTGTGTGTATGGGGTTGGGGGTTACCTTAAGTTGCTCTGATTAAAGGCTTCATTTCTCAAATAAATAGAGAACAGAATCAAATTTATAAGGATATGTTATTCCACAATTGATAAATGATCAAAGAACATGAACAGGTAGTTTTCAGATGAAGAAATCAAAGCTATCTATAGTCATATGAAAAATGCTCTAAATCATTATTGAGTAAAGAAATGCAAATTAAAACAACTCTGAGGTACCACATCACACCTATCAGATTGGCTTAATATGATAGGGAAAAAATGACAAATGTTGGAGGGTATGTGAGAAAATTGGGACACTGTTGGTGGGGTTGTGAACTGATTCAACCATTCTGGAGAGCAATTTGGATCTATGCTCAAATTGTTATAAAACTGTGCATATCTTTTGACCTAACAATGCCACTACTAGGTCTGTATCCAAACGAGATTTTAAAAAAAGAAAAAGAAAAGGACTTAGATGTACAAAAATATTTATAGCAGTTCATTTTGTATTGGCAAAGAATTGAAAATTGAGGGGGTGTTCATCATTTGGGGAATGTAGAATACAATTATGCTATAAAGAATGATGAGCAGGATGCTTTCAGAAAAACCTAGAAAGATTTACATGAACTGATGCAAAGTGAAGTGAGCAGAACCAGGAGAACATTATATACAGTAACAACATTATATGATGATCAACTGTGAATGACAGCTATTCTCAGTAATACAATGATTCAAGACAATTCCAAAGCGCTCATGATACAAAAAGTTGTGATGGATCCTGAGTGCAGATCAAAGGATACATTTTTAACTTTCTTTTTCTTTTTTTGGGGGGGGGATGTCTGTGTTTTCTTTCACATGACTAATAGGGAAATATGTTTTGCATGACTGCACATATTTAATCTTTATCAAATTACTTGCTTTGAGTGGGGAATGGGAAGGATGGTGAGAGAGAATTTGGGACTAAAATTTTTTTTAAATGTTAAAAATTATTTTTACGTGTAATTGGAAAAAACTCAAAAGATTAAAAAAAAGAAATTTGCAAATAAGTTGTGCTAGACATCCATCTAAAATCAAACAAGATAGCATGAAATATGCATCAGTACATAAAAGAATAAGGAAGGTAACTCTCTGTCTCAGGCAATCCTCTTACAACGCTATGTTCAGCAAATATACAGCAATAATACATGCAATAGACAGGCCACTTGATAGGCTGTTTTAGTCACTATAGGCCTCGTTTACAGGTAGAATATATAACATACATCAGTGATATTACATATCTTTACAATATATTATATATCATTAAATATATCCATAAACGAAAGAACAGTAAAGCAAAAACATACTTTAACATTAAGTAATTAACACATGTATCAATAAACATAAGCAATTAGATTTAAGGCATGCATTGTATGGGTAAACATTAGCATTTATCATCTATCTGGCTATGTGGATTACCATTTCCCCAGTTTCCTTTGGGATATCCTAAATTATTCTGATCCCTGATCATAATCCTCATCAGAACTAATGTCTTGTCTACCTACACCTGAAATTCTGAAGGGCCTAGGCTGGCTGGTAGTGTTACTATGTTCTAAAGAGTGGGTCTTTATCCTAGGAGAATTTACTGTTTTATAACTAGTCAGAAAAGGTATTGCCACTCTATTCACTCTACTCTGAACACATATAGGTAAACTTATTTTTATAAGTATACTTTAAAAAAGTTGTCCATAGCTCATTTGGGGCTTTCATTTGCTGATATCATGTATCTATGCCTAACTTTTAAATTTCCCCTTTGTTATGTGCCTTTTCTTCCAATTTTTGTATATTTCCTTTTAAAAGCAATGCTGTTAAAAATATAGTCATATGAAAAAATGTTCTGAATCACTATTGATTAGAGAAATGTAAATTAAAACAACTCTGAGGTACCACCTCAAAACCCTACAGTTTGACTAATATGACACAAAAAAGGAAAGTGATAAGTGTTGGAGGAAATGTGGAAAACTGGGACACTAACACAAAGTTGTTGGAATTGTGAACTGATCCAGCCATTCTGGAGAGCAATTTGGAACTATGCCAAAGGGCTATAAAACTATAAACATGGGGGCAGCTAGGTGGCACAGTGGATAGAGCACTGGCCCTGAATTCAGGAAGACCTGAGTTCAAATCTGGCCTCAGACACCTATCACTTACTGTGTGACCCTGGACAAGTCACTTAACCCCATTGCCTAGCACAAAAAAACAAAACAAACTATAAAACTTGTAAAATATGTAAAACATATCCTTTGACCCAGCAATATCTTTGCCAGGCCTATATCCCAAAGAGATTTTTTTCAAGGGAAAAGGACCTATAGGTACCAAAATATTTATAGCAGCAGCTCTTTTTGTGGTGGCAAAGAATTGGAAATTGAGGGGATGCCCATCAATTGGGGAATGGTTGAACAAGTTGTAGTGTGTGAACTAAAGGAATACAATTGTTCCATAAGAAATGATGAACAGGTAGACTTCAGAATAATTTGGAAAAACTTATATGAACTGATGCTGAGTGAAGTGAGCAGAACCAGGAGAACACTGTAACAGTAACAGCAACATTATGTGATGACCAACTTTAATAGACGTAGCTCTTCTCAGCAATGCAATGATCTAAGACAACTCCAAAAGACTCATGATGGAAAATGCTATCCACATCCAGAGAAAGAACTATGGAGTCTGAATGCAGATCAAAGCACACTACTCTCTCTCTCTCTCTCTCTCTCTTTTCTTCCTTGTGGTTTTTCCCTTTTGTTCTGATTCTTCTTTCACAACATGACTAATGTGGAAATATGTTTAATATGATTGCACATATACAGCTTATATTGGATTGCATGCCACCTTGGGTAGTGGGGAGGGAGGAAAGGGGGAAAATTTAGAACTCACAATCTTACAAAAGTGCATGTTGAAAACTAAAATAAATAAAAATAAACAAATGAATGAATGAATGAATAAGAAGAAAAGAAAACCTGGAAAGACTTATATGAACAGATGATGCAAAGTGAAGTGAACAGAACTAGGAGAACATCGTACACAGTAACAGCAATATTATACTTTCTTTTTTTCTTTTTTGTTCTGTTCAATCTTCTTGTATAAATGACTAATATGGAAATGTTTTACATGATTGCCTGTGTATGACCTATACTAGATTGCTTACTGTCTCAGGGAAGGGGAAGGAGAGGGAGGGATGGAGTGATAGAATTTGGATCTCAAAACTTTAAAAAAATGTTAAAAAACTGTTTTGACATGTAATTGGGGAAAAAAATACAATATTATTTAAAAAAATGAAAGGATGGTAGGAATGAGCTGTATCTCAACCTGTTCCCACATGGTTTTAATTTCTTCTTCTAGGTCTCTCTCTATATTTTTTAAATGCCCCTCATTTTATTTTATTTTATTTTGTTTTTGTTTTTTGATTTTTTTTATTAAAGTTTTTTTATTTTATAAACAATTGTTTAACATGCGTTTTTAAAACTTTGGGTTACAATAGGTCTCTATATTTTCAAAACTTTCATTCCATGTAGTTTGGAGATTATTGGCATCTATTAAAATGTTTTTAAATTTTTATGGTTCAAAAAAAATCAATGCTGTTGAGAGCTCATCTAACCCAACATAGTCCCATTGGTTATAAAACGATGTTAGAAATGGAGGAGACCTCAGACATGGATAAGTCCAAGCTCCTTTACAAATGATATCTCAGAGGCCCAGACAAGTGAAGCGACCTTTCTAAGCTTACACATTTAATTATTTAGAACCCAAAGCTTCCAACTCTCTGCCCAGAGAGTGTTCTTTCCATAGCAACTATGCCTCCCCTTTTCTCTTTTTTCAGATTGTATATGGTTGGTTGTATTATCAGTTTTTGGGAACATTCTATCCCTTTTGGGTTCTGCACCAACTCCTATTTTATTGTTCTTATTAATGGGAATTTATAATTTTTTTCTTTTTCTTTTAAAAATATTAGACTAATAGCCATATATTCCTTCTTTTTCTCCCTGGGGAACTATCTTGTCTAACAGAATAAAACAGAGGAAAGAGCAGTTCAGCTAACACAACCAACACAACTGTGTCCCATGTTATATGCAATGTTGCACTCCAACCTCTGCAAAGGGAAGAACACAAATTTTCTCAACATCTCTGAGATAAGTTTTGTCATTACAATTACACTCTGCTCAGTTTGATTTTATTGTTCTTTCCATTTTAATTGTGTATACTGTTTTCCAGGTTTTCTTTACATTATAGCACATCAGTTCATTTATGTCTTCCCATGCTTCTGAGTTTTTGTATTCTTTCTTTCTTTTTTTTTTTTTTTTAGGCAATTGGGGTTAAGTGACTTGCTGAGGGCCACACAGCTAGTGTCAAGTGTTTAGCCTGAGGTTGGATTTGAACTCAGGTCCTCCTGACTTCAGGACTGGTGCTCTATCCACTGTGCCCCATATTCTTCATTTTTAAAGGTGGAATGATATTCCACTACATTCTGGTACCATCACTTGTTTAGTCATTTCCCATTCCATGGGCTTCTACCTTGTTTCGTGTGTGTATGTATGTGTGTATCCACACTAAAACTAAACTAGAACTAAAAAGAACTGAAACCGTTCCTATGAATATTCTTAAGTATATGGACCGTCATTTATTTTCTCAGAACTTTTGTTTATGTAACAGGCCCACACATATACACCCATGTAAAAATACTTATGTGCACAATATACATCAAACTGTAAAATCAAAGTCCTGACCGAAACAAAACGTACGTCTCACATCTGTTCTATCCCATCCCCATTCTGTCAACTCCAGTGTACCTGGATCTGCTCCAGGCTTCGAGGTAGAGGCGTGGCAGTTCCTCAATGACTTGTGCAGGCAAACGGTAATTTACCCGGTTCTCCTCCCTCTTTCTTCGCAGCTGGAAGAAATTTTGCTTCCACGCTGGCCTCAGAAGCCGCCGTTGCTCACAACGGTGCCGCTACAGCTTGCTGAGTTTCACTTTCCATTCTAGGGGAAATCAAAACTCAACTGAGCTCACAGTTGCCCTCTGTAGAAAAGAGGTAGAATATACCCAAGAAAGGCATAGATGAAAGCAGAACGCTTTCCTGACAGATGCTCAAGGAACCTCTTCCACTGCTTCAGAAGCAGGGTCTGTCTTGCCGAGCCTCCTCGCTCCCGTTTCACTGCCTGCAGTAAGTGCACGCCCCTCATACTTCCCTGTACTTGGTTTATCTCTTTTGCAGTGGTCCAGGGCTAAGTTGAAGAATTCTTTCCCAAAAAGTCTACGGAGTAAATTTGGCATATTCGAAGCCACTTCAGGGTTTTTCAGCACCTGAAACCATTTGGATGGGTAAAGGTTTATTTGTTATGGTGATTTACAAAAAACTTTTTGCATGTGTTATGTTGATATTTTAGAACTAAGAAATTAAAAAAAAAATAATTCTGCCTGGGAGAAATGAAATTCAAAATCATTACACAAAAATAGCGATTCAATTCTGAAGATGCTGAAGATATGGGCTATTTAGGAAATACATAATTATTGATTAAAATGTAAGGAAATATATAACTATTGATATAAAATATTGATTAAATAAAGAATTAAAGACTATATTCCCACTCAAAGTTAAACAGACTAAATTTCTTGAGGGCTAGTACTGTCATGTGCCTCTTTTTGTATCCCCAGCACTTAGCACAATACCTGGCACATAATAGACACTATTGATTAACTGATAGAAAAGGAAGATGCTTGACCAGATAAGTAAATGCTTCTGCCTTCGGCTATTTATGACAAAGTTTAAAAATTGGATTTACTTATTCTTATAAAATAGAGGAGAGTAGTGGCTAGAAACCTAGCACCGGTTTCAGGAATATCTGGGTTCAACTTCTGCCTCTGATGCAAAGAAAGTGAGGCAGAGAATTGAGGCAGATGTAGAGAGTTTAGGCAACTTTTTAATTTGCCGAGATAATTCTGGGACCCCTGGTTTTTATTAGCTGAATTTTCTGGATAAGTTGGGTAATTTGTCACGAAATTTAACGCATTATTTTGAGTCTTTTAAGAAACTGAAAAGAACAAGAAGCTTTGCTTCATATTTTTAGCAGTTTCTGTGCTGAATTTTTTTGGGGGGAAAGGAACTGGATTTTTCGACTTACTAGTTTCTTCAAAATAATTGGATCCTGACATAACTTGCTTATAATAACAATAAACAGGAAAATCATGGTTATGAAAAATATTAATATTAGCTATAAACTAAATCCAGTGTGGTGCTAGTAATCTTAGCATCTTTTAATCAGGTTGCCATTTAGTCATTTGGCTACAGAAAGTAATTGGATAAATGACCAGAAACAATATGAACATAATAATGGCATTTTATGTATATGTTAAAATGGACTCCAGGATTTAAGAGTATTATGTGGAAATGCTCAGATCCTGATCAACTGATCATATAATAGTCATTTGTAAAGGCATTTTGACTTCTGGCATCCATACTGTTGCCATATAAGGAGGTCAACACAGTATATGCAGTGTATACTGAAAATAATTCATATTTCTGTACTGGTTTAAAGTTTACAAAGTGCATTCCTCACAACAACACTATGAGGTAGGAAGTACAAATATTGTTATTCCCATTTTATAGATGAGGAAGCTGAGGTTCAGAGAGGTGACCATTTTCTAAATCTCACAGACAGCAAATGTTAGAACCAAGATTTTCAGATTTCCTATCTGAGTCTTTTTCATTGAGCAATATAGTACCATACATATGAACAATTTCACAGGATGGTCTGGAAACAGAAGTCTTGTGCATGAAAAGCTTCAGGTGCAGGGCTGAACCATCAAAGCTATTTTATTCTATGTTAGAAAACAGGATGCGTAACACTTTTACAAAAGGAATGCAGTTACTGCTTTTGTCCCACCTAAGGCTGTCTTGTGTTCAGGACTATAGGTGCTATGAAAAGCACCTCTAATTTTGTTTTATGAGAAACTCTTCTGTAATCCTTTATGATTTCATGAGTAAATTCTAGGGGGTTTCCTGAGGCACATGGGGACCATACATCTAGTAAATGTCAGAGATGGGATATGAACCGAGGTCTTTTTGACTCTAAGCCCAGCACTCTGTCTGCTCCTCTTGATGCTTCCCCTAGAGTGCAGATAAGAGGTTCAAAAGACGAAAAGATACTTACCTGTTAATCAGGCTTAGCTATTCTTACAAAATTATAGTGTTTCATTTGGAGGAAGTAGAACTAGCATCCCATGATTTTTTTTTTTCTTTTAAGACTTTAGTTGAAATAGAAGGGTGGAAATTAGACTGGATTTAAACCAAAAAGATCCAGGTTTGAATTTAGGTCTTGTCACTTCCTGCATGTCCTGAGCTAAGAAGACCCTGGCTGACTGATATGTAATAGAGTAGTTAGGAGAACCTATACCCTAGCCCCTTCTAGTGGGTTAAATGTTCCTTGTTAAAGAGCATACATGATTCTTCTTGGTCTACGTGGCCTGGGGTGGGGCATTATATCAAAAGAATTGATGTCTGATCTAGGAAGCCTCCCACTTAATAGATTTTTAAAAAATGAAGTCAGAGATCGTCTGTCTGTCTGTTTCTTACTTCCCTCAACCCCTATGGTGGTTTCTCTCCCCTTCCCTGACCCAGTGGCAGCTATTGTAGCGATGTGCACTTGATAGCAAGTACAAGTTTTTTACACACGGTACCTTCTACCAATGAGCCTGAGACAATCCCTAGCTGCATCTTCTGCTTCGTTTCTCTTCCTGAGCACAGGTGGTCAAAAGCAATGTTGAGATGGGTATTTTCAGTCTTGGAGGCTGCCTCGTATGTTCTAGAGGTTGGAAGCCCTTGGGTGCTGGCTGGCAGCAGGAGGTACACTCTGCAGCTATATCCTTCTCAAAGGAGAGGATACCATTGCCAGGAGAATGAGGTATGCTCTGGCTGACCAGAAAACCTGGATTTTGAGTTATTGCTCAGATAGCACAGATTAAGGTGAAAGTAAAATCTGTTTAGCAAAACTCCAAGTATCCCAAGAGTCTTCCTACTCCTGAGAAAGCAGATTAGGATTGAAGGGTTATTGTTTTATGTTTTCAGTATTTGCCAGTGATTGCTTATGAGTCTTTTGTTATAAGCATTTCTTTTACAGTGGAGGAAATAAACAACTTCGTATACCTGATAATTACTACTTTGTACATTGAATAACTTTTTTAGAAGAGACCTTGTTAACAGCTAAAACCAAGATACATGAAGTTTTCCCTGGGACTCCAGGATGGGGGCACAATGAGGTATAGAATGCAAAAAAAAAAAAAGCTTCACTCCTCCCTTTGGGGGCTCAGGCTCACCCAAGATTGGACCTGGTCCATAGAAGTCCAGAGCAAGAGCCCCTTGTGGGAGGGAGGTGCCCACTGACATCCCCTCAACTCCTGTCAGAAGTACAAAGGAGAGCTTTTGGAATATAAAGCTCCATGCTCCACTCTTCCTGAGTGGCTCTTCATGCACAGATATCAATCATCTTTGACATAGTCTCCAGTGACAGAGACCAGGGGCCTGAGCATAGGGCTAACTGAAAGGGGCCAAGGTGAAGGCTCAGCTTGTGAGATATTTAGGGGAATACTTTGGCAGTGAATGCTTTTGGATCATAGAAAAAAAAAACCTCTACTCAATTCAATACTCAAACATTTTTTAAAATAAATTTTTATTGATGTTTTTGGTTTTTCTATTGCTGACAGTAGCACAATCTATCCCCCTCTACTTTCAGAGAACCATTTCCTATAACAAAGAACAAAAAAGAGGAATGAGAAAAAGTTTATTAAAACTAACCAATGACCACGACCATGGGATATATTCTTAATCAAATAAAGGATAGAGGTAGTTACAAAAGATAAAACAGATAGTTTTGACTATGTGAAATTGAAAAGCTTCTGCACAAACAAAAATACATCTAAGATAAGTAGAGAAGAAGTTAAATGGGGAGAAAACAACAACTTAGTATTAAATTTCTCAGATAAGAATTTGGTATCCAAGATGACCCAAAGACATTACCCAATAGTGATGTGGTAAAAGAATATGAACAAATAGTTCTCAGAAGAACTGTGAACTATTAATAACCTTGTAAATAATGTTCTAATAAGAATTGAAACAAAACAAAACAAAAGCAAAACAGAACAACCCTCAATTTTCACCTCACATCCAGCAAATTGGCAAAGATGACAAAAACTAAAAGTCAATGTTGAAAGGGTTTTGGAAAAATACTAACACTAGTAGAACCATTTTGGAAGGTAATTTGGAATTATGCAAGTAAGTAGCTAAAATGTCCGTACTCTTTGACCCAGGGATTTCACTGCTATGCATATGCATAGCAGTGGTATATACCCCAAGATGGTCATTGATGAGAAGGAAATCCCCATATACACTTGTCAACTCTAAAAATAAATGACCAAAGAATCACAGAGGTTATGCAACCGCTGTTAACTCTGAAAATAATGAAGAACTCACACAGGTTATCACAACCACAGTTAACTCTGAAAAACAAAATAAAAACAAAGAGATAACAGTGGTCATAAGCACAAAGCTTTCCTTATTCTGTTGGAGGAGGCAAACTAGACATAAGTACCAGGGCCTTCTCTACTAGGAGACCCGCTTTAGCAGGGGCAAATCTCAATATGTATACTAGTGGCTACACAATGAGCTGTAGCCCTGATAATGAGGGGTAACAGCAATAATGAGACAAGTCTGATCCATAGCAGGGTACCACACGTTTGTGGCTGAGCTCAGAGACTACCTGGTGCTGGTGTGAAACAATTGTGGGATTTTGCTGTGGTTGAGTTCATCCAGAGGGTGAGAGCAAAGGATTGTTGTTATGCCAACCTTAGGGCACAGTTTGCTTGCTGGGCTTTAGCTCTGGAAAACAGGGTGTCTCCTGATAGTAGAAAGAGAGGGATGGTCTTGGCATGGGGATCTTGACACTATAAAATATTTATAGTAGCACATTTTGCAGTAGCAAAGAACTGTTAACAAAGTAGATGCCCATTGGCTGGGGAATGACTGGCAAATTGTGGTATATAAATGTAATAAAGTGTTACCATGATGTAAGCAATGACAAATAAAATAAATGCCAGGAGACACGTAAAGACTTAGATGAACAGACATAAAATGAAGTGAACAACAATGTTAATGGAAAAAATGATAATAAC